AAAAAAAAAAAAAAAGTATATATATATAAAATAAAAAATAAAAAAAGAGAGAAAATGAAAGATAATCAAAAAATAGTCCTAAAAACTCTAAAGTAAAAGTATTGAACAGTATTCTAAGCTCTAGTGCCAAGGCATTCTGGCATTTAGGAAGAAAAGAAATGAAACGGCATCAGACTTACCTGATGTAGAGGAGAGTACGCAGGAGAGGACGACGGAAATAAATCTGCCTCCCTGCTCCTTTTATACGGAGCTTCGAATTGCCTGGGGGGGGGTGTCTGAGACACGCGATACACATGAAATCATAATCACCGACCGGCCCGAATTTGAAGCACATGTAACATCCCAAAGTGATGAAACTCTTTTCGCTTGTTGTTTGCAAAATTCATCCTAAATCTCTGAACAGCACGATACGCACATTCCAGCTCCCCAGTTCTCTTTCATCTTGAAGCCTAATTGTCCAGCTTCATTGCTGGTATCATTCCGCCCTGCTCGCTGGCATTGCGGGAGGAATTAAACTGGTTCTATTTATTTAGCACTTCCGTCATTAACTTCCCTTAATGATTTTAATCAGAGCTATAACCTGCTGTCGTACACATCTTCGTATTTAAGTGCTTTAAACCGAGGCTGCAATCTAATCTCATCTAATTTTGCAAGGACGTGTTCAGTGAGGTGAAAGGCGCCTTCTCATCCTTTTCCCACCCACAGCCACAAAACATGAGAGAGGTCCCGTACCTGAGGTAATTATAGACGTTGTCTGATGCCCTTTGATTTAGAAATCCTGATTTTTCATTGCTGCCTGGCAAGACCAGCAAAAACCCCACAGTATTTTAGCACCTGAAATGGTGTTTAAACCGAAGTCTAAAGTTTTCTCTGAAGGTGTTTAAACCGAAGTCTAAAGTTTTCTCTGAAGGTGTTTAAACCGAAGTCTAAAGTTTTCTCTGAAGGGAATATCTGGTTTTGTTGTTGTTTTTTTTTTTTTTTTTTTTTTCCCCCCTTATTTTTCACCTGGAATCTGCAAAGGCGCACGCACAGAGAATTATCTCACGGGTGCAGCGATGTAGGATGGCTGCGAATGCAAACAGATTAATAGCTGCTCTGCATTGACATCGCACAGCTCCGAAGGAGGACACAACACAAGAAAGTGGTGAAGTGGGGGCCAATTTCTCAGTGTCCTTGTGAAATGGTACGTTTCTGTCCATCACATCATCCATCCGGTCTGTACCTTCTCTTTCTTTTTGTTCCTATGATCGAGTGTAGTTTGCCCTTAGATCTACCCCTGCGCTTTAGACAGGAGGAAAGTTTTTGCTGGAGAACGTCACAGAGACAATTTTTGAGTGCTTCCCTCTCAGACTTGCTGGCAGGAAAATCAATGGAATTATCTGCAGAATAGTTATCGTTTTTTTTTTTCTTTCTTTTTTTTTTTTTCTTCTTCTTTCTTTCGTGACTATCAGGACACACTCTGCATATTGTTGCAGGGCCCAGTTTTGATGCCAAGATTTCAAGTGACTTGTCACCTGAAATTACTCAGGCTTCCCCGATACTTAGTGGGGAGGGACGAGGAATTTCTGCAAGACAATTCATCCCATCTCAAACGCTTACCTTACCAGAATTGGTATCACCCTCAAAACATAACAATTTTGCTTTCGTTGACTATGGAGATGGACAACAAGCTCAGCTGAAACACCCAGCTTTTAATCAGGGAAGGTTTGATGAGACGTGTCCCACCCATACTCTAAAATCCTGTGTAATAAACACTGCCTGGTCCAGCCCCAGCAATCCTCATTTGCCTATGGATCTGTTTTTTTTTTTTTTTTTTTTTTTTTTTTTTTTTTTTTTTCAGATTTTTGAGATGGCCCTAGGGGATCACAAGAGCAATAATAGCCACTAAGGTTGTACAAATATTTCTGTGTCTGCGTTTTGAAGCACTTCCCAAACCCTCCTTAGTAGTTTAGGCATTAAGTGGTGCGTCATGATGGTAATATAAGTATGTGGTTGGATTCAAGCCGCCCAGCATTTTGAAATATATTTATTAAATTGTACTGGTCAAGAGAACTGTTCCTGTTTCTTTTACCAGTCTTAGGACTGCGGTTGATTTTCTTTTATGATCTAGGTTTTCATTTAGTTAAGACTCTGTATAAGCTCCTTCAGTGTTGATGTTGCATTAATTCGCACCCCCTTCGGTGTCTGTGGCAGGAAGATCTGCAACATCTGCCTCTGTCCTCATGTTTTGAAAGCTTTTCCTAGGACTCACCTAGTCTAACTGCGAGTAATTTACCTTTCTTCTGTGTTTTAAACCCATGCTTAGCTTGCTAAAAGAAATATATTTACCAAGCTGCCTGTCACCCGGTGAAGAAACTCTTTACCTTCATTGTGATTAATCAATTTACCTCTAAAATCTGAAGCGAAAAAAAAAAAAAAAAAAAAAAGTGCAGGACGCTCCTGTCCCAATCCTAAATTCCAACTTCGTATATGGGTTGCTGATTTCACAAGAAAGCCACCATGTTTTATATCAATTGTACTTTATCTAGCAAGGCTAAGGGAGAATGGAAAGAAAACCTGCATATGAAAGCAGATGGCAATTATGATTAACATTTGAGCCACCATCATTATGTCACCCAATAAAAGAAGAGGTAAATAAATGAAGCCAACGTAATTCCTCCTGTCGTTCTAATGTATTTCATGGAATGTTACCAGGAATGAATCTTGCCAATTAAGTGCGAAGATGAAAGAAATATTTGTTCGGTAATTTGCATTTCATACCGTGTCAGAATTTGAATCAACTAATAAACATAAATATTGAGCAAAACTGTTTCATCATTTTGAGGTGAACCATGCGTGATAAACGTGGGCTGGTGTTGATGAGAGTCTCAGGTTCTTCAGGCCGTTTGAGGAAATGCATCAAGAGTCCCACCTCAAAACTGCCTTGTATTTACTTCTCTTGCCCACTTCTTCCCAGAGCCAGCAATTTTCTCCGTATCAGACTATTCTTTTTTTTTTTTTTTTTTTTTTTTTTTTTTTTTTTGTAAATTTAAATTAGTCCTGTCACTTATGAGGAGGCAATGTTATATGCAGGTTTTAAGGTTGTTTTCCACAATGCTATCAGCTCTCCACTAGTTCAAATCTTCAATTATAATCTACTAAACAGATACCAACCCCCCAGATTAGTCCTACAAACTGCTCTGTACTCCTGCACCACAAAGGTGGAGGAGCCACGGATGGTAGCAGCCGTGTTTAACGAAGGATGTGTTCTCTTAATAGTTAATTACTTGGTATTCCAGCTGCTGTTTCTAATTATTTTGCACGGAAGAAAGCTGAAGCTTGAAAGGGATGTAAGCAAAGATTCCTTGCTCACGGCAAAAAGGGCCTCCAGGGCGTAAGGAATCGGGTGATCCTTTGGACAGTTCATCCAGTAACGCACAGCATCAGGATTTTTAGACTAAACTTCAGACCACATGGAACTGACTTTTATCAGAGACAGCTTAAGATCAAGCATTTGTCTGAGGAAGAATGTGACTTTCTATATTCCCGTGTTTCCACTAAGCAATGATCAACCATCACTTAAAAAAAAAAAAATTTCTTACAGAGTTTATACAACTTTGAGGAATTACAGCCAGAGCAGGAGGTTGGTCTTGGTGAGGTAACTCTTTCCCATTTCCATGACATCTAAGGTTTTCTTCCTTAGATCCAGGGGGGAATTCGTGCTGGGTTATGCTTAGTCATGTTTTCAGTTGGCCAACTAGTGTCCGGTGCCGGCACCAACAGCTGCGAGGAGCTGACTGCCTTGACCTGAGGGCAGCGGTTCAACCACCATCCGCTGTCACAACCTTGCCAGTCCAGACGCTTAGTTCCTTCCTTCAGGACAGTGTAGCGGGATCTCTGTTACCACCCACACTTAATTTTTTTTTTTTTTTTTTTTTTTTTTAATGGGAGCTTGTGTTATGGTAGTTTTTACCACAGCAGATTTTCCTACAGGTTTTCAGCTCCTGGCGGTGAGTAGAACATCCCTTCTGGCTGTTGTTTTGATACTAGATACCACTGTGGAGATGTGGGTCTTGCTGGAGGAGCTACTCAATTTACCAGAGACAATTAAATAATATTAAAAAAAAAAAAAAAAAAAAGAACAAAAGGCAGATTTATAGATGACTTTTTTAGGTAACGAGTGCTGAAAAGTCTGCACTGTCCAGTTACAGAGAGTGGAGCTGAGCATGTGCAGCAGATCTTTCTTCATATTCTTATCTTTCTTCATATTCTGCCTTCAGTCTGTGGTCGGATGTTCTCTGAACGCTGTTACATTACGCGTAGCCGTACTTCTTACTGCAGTAAAATATGTAGCCTAAGGTCTTCTGGCAGCTGAACCACATAAAGAAAACTAATCTTGTGAGATAAGCATCTGCTTGAATCAGGAGATGGCTACGTGCTTTACTGATAAGCTAAAAGAATGTACCGTGTGTCCTGCAGTACTTCAGTTTTAGGCCACCTACATCATATTTACACAAATTCTATTTGTATTTAATATCTACAGAGCCGAAACACGGCCAAAGAAGTCCCAAATCCCGGAACTCAACCAGATGTCCTGTGAAATTAGGCACGTGGCCCTTATTGTGTTTTGGAAGTGTCACCTGCACACAGCCAGAATTTTGGAGAGTGACATGGATCCGTGCTGGTCTGTGCTAGAGACAAACACAGAATCCGAAATTCATTTAATATCAGTCACCCATCTCCCATTAAGAGCTGTGGGCGCCTAATTACTTGTATGACATTGGATTAGAGGTCTGTGGTGGAATAAGCAAGAGCTTAACTTCCAGAGCGTGAACAGCCCCTTGTTGTTCAAAGAATTATCTCGATAACACGAGTAGGGAGTTTAATAAGGTAAAGTGTAGAGAAGGCCAGCGTGTTGTGACCATGTTGTTGCAATCGAGCGGTGAAACAGGCCGAGCAAGGGCTCCTCGTGGAGGCTTTCACTATGTGGGCAGGGTTTGCACAATATTATTGCAGCCAGATGTGTACAACAGGCAACTTTATCCAGAAAAGTTGGCAAATTCGGAACGGACGAGAGCACGAAACCGCAACACGCCTCTTTTGAATGATGCGACAGAATTTTAATTAGAAGGAAAACAGCAAAAAATATATCGCGGTATCAAGAATATATATATCTCCAAATTGTCGGAGGGGAATGAATTTTGAGTCGCTGTTAAATGTCTCACTGCATTCAGTCGCAAGTATGATAACGTAGAAGATAACAAGGAGTTGAAGACATTAAGATGTCAGGAAAGAATTTAAAGGAAGGAAAAAAAAAAAAAAAAGGAGAGGTGTGGGGCATGCAGAAGGCACTGCGCTGAACAGGATCCGTGAGTGCTTTCACAAAGCTGTCACTCATCCACTCGCTGGTGAATCTGCATTTTGTTTTTCACCCGTACATTATTCAGTGGTTTTTCTTGTGTTTAGCAGGGCCCGCAGATGCCACGGTTGTACCTGCCGTACCGGTAGGAGTAAGGGCTGCAGTAGCCATAGCCATAGGGTCTGCCGTAGCCATACAGGCCCCGGTAACCCAGGGAGGAGCCCCCACAGCCATACAGGCCCCCATAGCCCAGGGACCCATAGCCCCCATAGCCATACAGACCCCCGTAGCCCAGGGACCCATAGCCCCCATAGCCATACAGACCCCCGTAGCCCAGGGACCCATAGCCCCCATAGCCATACAGACCCCCGTAGCCCCCAACAAGGGGCGCTCCAGAGGATCCCACGACCGAATCCTGGGGGAAGGAGCTGAGGATGGGCCCGGGGAAGGTGACGACGACTGGGGGCGGCTGGATCACGGTCGTGGAGTCGGGGCACTGACGGACACACGGCTCGTTGCAGCTGTCAGCCAGGGGCTGGGGGCGGTAAACGCCAGAGGCAGAGGTGGAGCACAGGTCGTAGCAGGACATCTTGCAGGGATGGAGGTAAGCTGCAATGGACACTGAGGAGTAAAGACCAAATAAAATGGGAAAAGGAATTTGAAAGCTGGACACATGAACTAGAATAGTGGCTTTATCTTTCAGATCTTGACTGTCCTTCCTCCCCTTCAGTATTTTTCATGAAACATCTCTCACTCTTGTAAATCAGCACTGAAAAACAACTCTGGCATATTGACTGAATGCAGAAGCAATAGCTAAAATCATGCTGCCAGTATGCTGAACCTGCTATAAACACGGATTAAATAAGGCATTCCCTGCCCTAAAGTGCTTGCGAAGTAGCTTGAAAGTCACAGGGTGAGCGAAAAGATTATTTGTCTCATTTCCCAGATGGGAAACTGGTACACTCAGGTAAGTAGGGCTCGGTTTCTACTGCAGATAAATCCGTTGGGGTCTGAGCCATTCAGAATGTTTTTCACCATGGGATCTGATCCAATCTAAAAGAAAACCCATGCAAGGACGAGGAATACCACCTGTGAACAATATTTTTTTTTTCCCCACTAGAACCAATAAAATATGAGATTCGGAGAGACTTCTGGAGGTTATCTAGCTCAACTCTCTACTCAAAGCAAGGACAGTGTAAAAGATAGGTTAGGATTTGTTTGTTTCATCTGTTTTCCAATACTTCTTTAGACAATAATTCTATATTTTTTTTCTGGTCAAGTTCGTCCCCTCAACAAATACATACATACGGAAAAAAACGTATATAGAAAAATCCTTTAAAAATTCCTAGTGACTGAACAAGCCTTCTGCTAATGTTTTGGAAGCTGCTTTGATAGCTCGAATTTTTACTAACGAGAAACAATACTTTTTGGAAAACCTAGTTTTCCCATTTTAAACCTAAATACATGGATGTCCCACACCAAAAAAAAAAATATTAAAAATCTTAGAATATTTACAGATTACTCTAACATGAATTAAAACTGACAGAAAAGAGATACCTGAATTTTCGGAAAGAGATCACCTAGAATGGGACTTACCCTTTTTCACGGGGATGAATAAAGCGAGGAAGGTGGAATGAAGAGCTCTGAGTTGGGAGAGCTTTTATACAGTTCCCCAGATCACGGCGATCGCCTAAGACGCAATTTGTGTGCGTGCATAATTGGGGCCAACCCAACACTAATAGGACACGTAGGTCCTTAAAGTTTTGCTGACTATTTGTTCGTTGGTTCAGAGTCTCGTGAAATGTCGGAGGCGCGTTTCATCACAAAGCCTCTTTCATCTCAAATGGGCTGCCTGTCATATTCCTGCCTGTTATCGTTCCGTTCACATCCTTGGCGTCACAACAAGATTTATACTCACGCTCTTCCTCAGCATCTCCATTGGTAATGGCGAAACCCGGCTGCACACGGCATGGCTGCGGTCGCCTGATGTGCCCAGATATTTTTCCATCCAGTGTAGGCTGGATGATATCTGGAGGTAAAAGGGTCTTTACGAGAGCAACTCCTGGTGTCGTCATTTTTGGTTTTGTCTTTTCCACTCTCAGTTACTTCATGTGAGACCGATACTCCACCCAAAGGCTGCCCCAGAAAACATCCTGTGGTCCTGAAATCGTTTCCTCTTGTTTGGCTTTTGCTCCCAAGCGCAATGCCGGCCTCATCTAGTGAACAAGGGACTTGGGGAACTACCTCTTGCTTTCTGTGTTGTGCTGTGGGTTCCTCTTCCTCTCCTTTTCTCAAACACCAGCAAGTCCTTTGGACCATTCTAAGCGGAAGACAGAGGGAGAACACCCTTAAACTACTCCGGTTTTTCTAACAGGTATTTGAACCCAGTTTGAAGTCTAGAGATGGACTAATACTTATCTTTTCGGTTCGCAAAACTACAGGGCACTTTCTTGGCGAAATCTTTGTCACCCACATTTAGCAGTTTTCCGTCTCCTGATACAAAACCTTCGGAGATCTATTTTCAGTTCATCTTCAGACCAGGCAATATTGAAGACTACCGAGAAATGAAATGAGATAAAACATGACCGGGTGTCCACTTGCTAAAGCTCTCTAGAGATACAGCACAGTAGAGACAGAGAAATCGTTTACACGCATAAAGGCTGATCTTTGAGAGAATTGCAACAGCGATTAAATCCTCTGTGATGTGCAATTTGAAAAGTCTAAAGTCACAAACTAATTCTACAGCTTATGAAACGCTGCATTTTATTTAAAAATTGATATTTCATTCTCTTCTTCTACATTGAAAAAAACCCCGAAGACGCACAAATCCGGAGTATTCAGCCATGATCTGATTACACCAAGGACACAAATACCTTGACTTACATATTTTAATGTGATGTCATTCCATAATTAGGCACCCAAATCCAGGTACATGCCTTTCATCTAATTGTAAGAATGCGTTCTCAAACCATTAGTGGATAGTTTGAGGCATTTGAAAAGACTCGTTCCCTGGAAGCTTGAAAATATGAGTCCAAAAATCTTCTAACCACCTCAAAGGCTGAGAAACCCGACTTAAAATTTAGAGCTCGTCCACGGCACAGAGTCTGCAGCATTAAAATAACACATCTGTAAACAAGGGAAGAACCGGCCTTTGTTTTGCGTGGTGTGTTCCCAGTTCGTAATTGTTCCCTGTTCTCAGAAACTGCCGGCTCAGCCCTGTTCTGGACTTATGGCTTGCAGCAACAACAGCGTGTTACAGGAGGTCATGAATTCCTGAGAACCAAAGTCAGCAATTCAAAGCGCTTCTGTCACATTTCAATATTTTTTTTTTGTTTTGTTTTTAATCCACCAGAAGATCCATTTGTACTGAAAAAGCTCAAGTTTCCTCAGGCTTATTAAATATTCTCGAGTACCTTTTTTGTACTGACAACATCCAACCAACAATACCTGGAAAAAGTCTCTTTGGGATGTCCAATCCTTTTGGAGCTTTTGTTAAACTCATTAAAAAAAAAAACAAACAAAAAACAACCTAAAACAAAACAAAACAAAACCCCACCAAGCCTCAGGAAGATAAAGGCTTCATCTCCATCTCCCATGTGAAATTCTGGAGACTTAGCCCTACACATTTTTGTCAGAGAATACAACTCGTGGAGTGACTGATTGATGGATGGAGAAACTGATTCAGCTCATTTCTGCATGAAAAGAATTCCCAGCACTCCAAAATGAAAAATTTCACCATTTTTTCCCGCTCAATGTTAGATTTCAATTTCCACTTAAGCCCCGTTTAGACACCAAAGCCCACATTGGCAGGTCACTGGAGTTGCTGCTGCTCTTCTTTCTGAGCAGAATTGTCCCCAGTAGAACCAGTGTCAAACACTACTGGGAAACATCATCGACTCCCAAGGGTGCTGTGTCCCCCAGCTGTAGGTGGGGAAGATAAACATGCAGAAACCACCTCCAACCTTCCTGCAATTCGCGTTTACAGTCTTTAACTTCTGTCCTGACGGGTTGTAATGTGGATTATACGTACTTAAACAAAAATCCTGTCCGTGACAGCGGTTTGTAATTCTGATAAACCCATGAGACACTCTCCAGGTATTTAATACAAGAGGAGCTGTCTTAATAATTTCTGTTTGTCATTTCAAGGAAGTGACTGGAATAACGCCAGGTATTAATCTTTTCCAAGTCGTCACAAAATGAAACAATTCTCTATCATCTAAAGTCATGTTTAGGTCCTTATTACAAAACAATTTGACGGGACTCATCAACTCCAATAACGAGCGCAGCAATTTCATCATCTTGACAAGTTACGCGTGTTTGAAATTGGGGCACGCAACCGGTGTTGATCTTGTAAGTCCACCTGCTCCGGTATAAAAGCTCTTCTCCCTCATTGCTCTTCCATAGACTTCTCTTGACTTCTTGGCGACTTGGGTAAGTCCGATTCTTCTCTTCTGCTATCAACGTATCTTTTTATTCCTGGTTTCAGCGTCAGTTGATGTCCAAAGGCCATATTGTTGAGTGGATCTGCGTTACCTTGGGACAGAGATTCTAACGCTGGCTCTGGGGTAGCAGATACATCTGTTTGGGGTGTGGGACCCTGCGGAGTCCTCAGTGTCCAGGAACACTGGACCCTGAAGTGACCAGACGACTCTCCTTGTCATCTCATTTCATTTTAGGTAGTCCTGCAAGGAGCAGGGAGTTGGACTCGATGATCCTGACGAGTCCTTCCAACTTAAGGTGTTCTCTGATTCTGACTTTAATGCATTTAACCTATTCCAGAGTTTGCATTTGAGGTTCAATGTTTGATAAGGGCATTACCGCTGCAGCCAGTCATGAACCCTGAGATGAACCGATGATGCGTATGAGAACGTCACGTGTGTTTTCCTCTTACAGCAAATCTTCCGGCTGACCTTTACTTCCATATTCTCCCACAGAACCTTGCTAAAGACTTGCAGGACATAGTGAGTGGAGAAGAGTAAAATCACCCTTAGAGAAAATAACGAGGTTTAGAGGGCGAAAGAGAGGTTGAATTGTTGGGTTTACCCAAGTCCTGGTTTATCCCATGAATAGCAATTTAAAATTACTTTTTTGAAAGACATTAGGGACTAAAAGATTATATATATTGAAATTATCCAGCCTGTACCCATATAGTAGCTGCATAGGTAGGAATTAGGATAATAATGTTGCCATCTCTCCTTTATTTTCTTGTCAAAGGCCTTTCTGAGCAATCTGGGGAGTAACAATCCTATAATCTGTTGTTCCTACAACTCTCAGCAAAATTGGGACGAGTGGGAAGAAGAAGCTACTGTAATTAAGTTATATATAAACTACATCTCATGTAAACCTGCTGAACACAAATCCAAGATTTCCTACTGACTCATCAGATGACCTTGGACAAAGTCACTTTGTTCTCTCTGCTTTTGCTTCTCAGTTTTCAGTTTAAAATATATCTAAGTTCTCTGAAGGCTGCTCGTGAGGGACAACACCTTCAGAGCTAGACGTAACATTTCCCATGTTTTTGTAATCTGTAGATGCCTTTTAGAAAAAAGTTTGAGAATCTGATTTTGGAAAAAAGAGGCTTATGATTGCAAAATGGGAAATCGGAGTTTTTACTCAAAATCCTGTACTTGACTCAGTATTTTATTGTAAGCTGTTGAATTTTAAAGTCGCTGCCTTCTCCTTACTTTACTCCTCAGTGTCCATTGCAGCTTACCTCCATCCCTGCAAGATGTCCTGCTACGACCTGTGCTCCACCTCTGCCTCTGGCGTTTACCACCCCCAGCCCCTGGCTGACAGCTGCAACAAGCCGTGCGTCCGTCAGTGCCCCGACTCCACGACCGTGATCCAGCCGCCCCCAGTCGTCGTCACCTTCCCCGGGCCCATCCTCAGCTCCTTCCCCCAGGATTCGGTCGTGGGATCCTCTGGAGCGCCCCTTGTTGGGGGCTATGGGGGCTCCTTTGGCTATGGGGGCTATGGGTCCCTGGGCTACGGGGGTCTGTATGGCTATGGGGGCTATGGGTCCCTGGGCTATGGGGGCCTGTATGGCTGTGGGGGCTCCTCCCTGGGTTACAGGGGCCTGTATGGCTACGGCAGACCCTATGGCTATGGCTACTGCAGCCCTCACTCCTACTGGTACAACAGGTACAACCGTGGCATCTGCGGGCCCTGCTAAATCCCACAGAAATATCCCCCCGACTAAGGAATAACCAGGAACTGAGAGCTACAACCTTGATCCACAGCAGTGGTCCCAAAGGAGATGTTGTGAAATCCTGATCACCGCCACCCGACTGCGGTGCAGCTGGGAGCACACAGCACATCCTTAATTTCTTCACCCTCTACTCATTGTCTTTTGGGCTTTTTTTCCATCTGTGTGTATAACGGGCAGGATAAAACAATCAATTTATGTTCATATGTCACTTCATTGTTCAACCAAAGAAAATCATGGAAGGCATTGCCTGCACTCTGCTGCATCTTCTTGATATCGTACAGCTCTTTTCTGTGAATGTTTATTGCTCATTAAAGTCATTCTATTCTGCATCATACAAATCAGCTCCTAGTTTTAATTTCTTCTGCTATGGACATACAGCTGTCCTCTCTGTAAATGGGGAAAACTCACATCCTTACGCAGGACGAGGCTCAGACTTCGAAAACACAGCTGAAAAAAATCCCAGCTTTCAGTGAAGTCAGCCACCCTTTGTTGTACTCAGTGCACGCATTCGGGAGCAGGAATCCTCCCTCCCCATCTGGCCTGGGTTACAATAATAACAATATGTTTAGAAACAAACCACGCTAAAGCTCCGTTTGTTAATGAGACACTTGAACGTCTCTGCTGATCACAGCAGGAGCAGATCCAGTGGCTCAGCTGAGGCTGGATTCAAAGCAGATTATGGGGAAAAGGGTGGCAGATGAAGCCCTCAGGTGGGATGGATGCTTCTGAGTCAGAAAGGATTTAAGGAGGTGGGGAGAGAGTGGTGAAGGGTGTTGGTATGGAACTGCTGAGAGGGAGAGGATTGGAGGGAGCTGCAACAAGGAAAAGAGCTCTTCAGCGGTGGGCAGGTTATCTAATGGAGATGAGGAGTATCATGGGAGAGGCTGAAAGCTAGAGCTGCTGAAAATGGGGGGTTCTGCTGTGAGGACTTCCCATGCAGCAGGAATTGGGAAACACAACAGTGTTGAGGAAAGGTATGCGGGGTTGGGACTTTTTCTACCTTTGAAGCTTTCTGGGCACCTTAAGTCTGTTCTCTCTGTTCCAGCCGGTCTTGCTGGCATAAATGAGTTAGTCCTTTGGGTAGCTGTAGGGAGTAGCTGGTTTTCAGTCAAAAAACACACAAAACCTTAGATTTCATGATTATACCGAAAGATCTTTACCCACACTTCAGATTTAAAAGTTTCATTGTATGGCCTAGGAAACATCTTTTAAGGATTTGACAGAAAGTTAATTCGACTTTCTGCAGACACTGAGTTCAGGGTTTGAGTGAGAACCTGAAGTTCAAAGAGTTGAATCGGAGACTTAACTGGAAGAAATTCTTGCTGAAGTCTAATATTTTTTAAAAAGAGTTTGAAATTAGTAAGCTACTGTTTCGTTTCTCTCCAACTACTAATTTGTAACCAGCAGATGTACATCCGAGAAGCCAAATTCCTCCAGAAATGTGGAGAGCAGGGCGGTAGTTCATTCTGTGCTGGTGGCTTCGCACTGCTTCTGTACACTTGAATTCCCTGATATTTTTTTTGGACAGACTATTCATCTACATAGTTTAGACTGTTACTGACAACTGAACAGTTCAGACTTCTACTAAGACAGATAACCAGGGCAAAACCATGAGAAAAAGAACACCAGAACATGGCAAATTTGATGCAATAAATTTTAATGATAGTGAGTAAAGGAATACATTCTCCAAGTCTCCAAGAAGTATAAAACTGTTCTCCAGTCAGAGATACATTCACATATGATTTTTTTTTTTTTTTCCTTCCCGAGTCTTGGCTGTTGATTTGAACAAACAGGAAACATTCTGAGCAATTCTGTCACAGGTTTACCTCAGGCAAGATGGAGATCGGACAGGAGAAGCGTTAAGACAAGCTGAAAGCAGAAGTGAAGTTCAAAAGGGGCTGAAGGGGTGCAGCTCCCTGGTCATGGAACACAGCAGTGGAGGTTCAGACCTTTTAGCTGTGAAACCATCCCATCTCGTTGGTCGATTACACCTCGCTTGGGATATTTCTGTGGGATTTAGCAGGGCCCGCAGATGCCACGGTTGTACCTGCCGTACCGGTAGGAGTAAGGGCTGCAGTAGCCATAGCCATAGGGTCTGCCGTAGCCATACAGGCCCCGGTAACCCAGGGAGGAGCCCCCACAGCCATACAGGCCCCCATAGCCCAGGGACCCATAGCCCCCATAGCCATACAGACCCCCGTAGCCCAGGGACCCATAGCCCCCATAGCCATACAGACCCCCGTAGCCCAGGGACCCATAGCCCCCATAGCCAAAGGAGCCCCCATAGCCCCCAACAAGGGGCGCTCCAGAGGATCCCACGACCGAATCCTGGGGGAAGGAGCTGAGGATGGGCCCGGGGAAGGTGACGACGACTGGGGGCGGCTGGATCACGGTCGTGGAGTCGGGGCACTGACGGACACACGGCTCATTCCCACTGTCAGCCAGGGGCTGGGGGCGGTTGATGCCTCCAACAGCAGTGGAGCACAGGTCGTAGCAAGACATCTCGCAGGGATGGAGGTCAGTCTGTAATACACAGTCATTTATGTTCACGTCAAAGAAATGCGAAGCATTACATTATGATCAAGTCCAACAGGGAATCAGCAATAAATCTGGCAAGTAAACATTTTCTATTACTGTGCTTCCTAACACTGTAACCTCGAGGCTAGTTTTGACTTTAGTATGACAAAGTCACGTAACTTCCAGTTGTATCTTTGGTACTTCCACATAAACTAATTTTGACAGTCTTACATTCCTATTAGTTGAAGTTTTCTACATAATAAATTTGCTCTTTCCCCTTGTAAACGCAAAACTCTACTAAATGCAGCTATATATAGCAACGTATATGAACTTTTATCTCTTAAAATAGCCAAGAAATTCTTCGAAGGGATAAAATATTACAAATACGGGATTCAAAACAGCTTGATATAACCCTCTTCTGGAGCCTGTCTTTACAGGGCCTGATAATGAACGAGAAACTCAATGTTGTCTCCAGCAGCAAATAATCTACAGACCACTGGCAGCCTGGCAGAAACTGAAGAGGAATTGGTCCTAAGTTAAAATCGAGAGTTCTTGACAGCAAGTTAAGTTTAGCAAAGTCTGAGAGAAATCTGACTTACCCCGCTGATGAAGGCGAGTAAGGTGAGAGAAGTGGATAGAAAGACTTAAAGCCGAGAGCTTTTATACAGCTCCATGATTGCCTGGAGGCCATTAGGCATCCGATGTGTGTGAGTTCATAATTAGGTACCAACCCCAAATTGTAGGACACGTCGTTCCTCAAAGTGCTGAAATTGTTTTGGCTTATTGCTTGTGCGTTGCGGGCGCTTCAAACCCACACATAGCGTGACATGCATGCTCCACCACAGACCTCTCTATTATCCCCAGGCTTTATGTGTGGAATTATTTTTTATTATTCCATTACTCTCTTCAACATTAAAGGAGGAAGTAAGCTGACTAGATTTATTTAAGAGTCTTGCATAATTAGGATGACAGGAAGACAGTCGTTTCTTTTGTCCAGTTACAGGTCTTCAGCATAATCAACAGGATACCCAGAGATAAAATGGAATTTCTTTTTGGATCTCAGATGAAGACTGGAGACAAATAACAAAGGGTAAAAACCTTCTTTGTGCAGGCTTAGCACTTCGACCTCCAGTTGCTCAACACAAGGCAAACACAGTGATTAGGAAGATCTTTTAATGGCTTTTGGATGGTTGTCTACTAGATGTCTTTCAGTCCCGGGAACATAGAATTATTTCAGCTGACAGTCACAAGTCTATGGAAACTGAGTTTTTTTCTGAGATTTTTCACGAATCTTTGCTTTCCGTTACATTTTATTATGCTTTCTTCTCTTTCTGTTACATATTAGAGAGACCTAGGAACATAGGACTAAGAGATGAAAGGAAATCAGCCCGTAAGACACGACTCCTGAAAGGGATTCTAGCCCTGACACAATGAAGACAGATCCCGCTGTACCCTGGGTTGGGTTTTTTGGTTTTTTTTTGTCTCACCGTTCACTCGATACGAGCAGATTTCTGTTTCTGGACCAATGTGCCCTTAAATAAAAAAAGAAGGTAAATTTTATTTTTGAAGTCAATGAAAATAAGGTCCAAAAAGCATTACAAACCATGAACTGATTACGGGAAAGACCCAAGTGACCTTGACTTACCTATTTTAATGTGATAATCCCTCATAAAAGTGGGGTGTAAGCATTCAGGCATACTTTTTACCTAATTATGACACAGTACGTACAAGTTAGTAATGGGTGTTCATGAGGTACATGAAAATCCCTTGGAATGTTCTTATAAAACTTGGAGATCTTTTTTTTTTTTTTTTTTTTTTTTTTTTTTTGGTCGGTATTATAGCTCAGGGAATCTCGGTATGTGTCTCCAGATTTGGAAAAGCTCGTAATTTAGAAATAATATGTGGTTTGAAGATAGTCACGTTGATGATTATGATAACCATGATAATGATATAGTATTACAATAATGGCCTAAACAAAGAAAGAAACCTCAGCAAAAGCCAGCATCTGCCTTTCCCAGTGGATTCCCACCTCATAATTGCTCTCTACCGAAAGATGCCGTCACTGATGGGGTTAGCTGCAAGCTCAGTCAAGGTCAAGGACTCCTGAGGGGCAAGTTAGAAATTAAACTTCAGGAAAACATACCCGCTCAAACTCGTGGATCAAACTGAGCGGAACGTTCTCACTGATCATGATTTCAGAGGTTCACTGGGAATCGGTCCACTTTTTTGATGTCGCTTTGATGACACTTTAGACATTTTTATGTCTAAAAGGTTGCTTTTATCTATCGGATAGGCAAGAGCTGCAGAAATCCTTTAACACCTGTGGATGGTCTTTGATTTAAACAGGAGATCTCAGCAGTTTTGGACAGTCAGAAGGAGACTGTTCAATGTACCTGCAGAAGTGAAACATAGAAGATGAGTAAATAGGACACCAGTAAGAATTGCGTATGCTGGTGTGAACCCATTGAGTTAATAAAGTTATTAGTCTGTGGCTTAGTCTGTTCCTCTGAAATCTCACTTCGTAGCCGTCTCAGTAAATCACAAATTTAGATATTAATTCAATGCACACTTTAATTATTTTTAGCTTTCCATCCTAATAAAAATATAGATGTCTTCTTTCAGAACTAAATTCAGCTTTAAATTGTAGTTTGAGGGTCAGATAAAACCTAAGGCTGTTTTGGACAGCCACCACCGTGTTCGGGAATGCTCACAATATGATTTGATTCAGAGAGTACTGAGGGTCTTGCGTGGATTCCAAAATGAAATGTATCACATCTCAGATATAAACCTAAACGCCCAGAAAATATTGCCCGCCTTCCCAAGGATTTAATTTTCTTTAAAAAAAGAGAGAAACCTGACGTAAGTGTCTACGAAAGAAACACCTCACAACAGGTTATTTCTCATAAATGTCTGAGCATCGTTGTCATATAGAGCAGCAAAAGAAGAACATCCATGTATAAGCAGCTTACTGCATGGTGCAACTCCAAAGAGAATAGGAAACTGATATTAATTTAATGAATAATGTTTTAGGATGAAAGATGCGTTAATTTGACCCATCACTCTTTTGGATGAAAGATCCTCGTGTGATGTAACGTGTGTGTTATGTTACGTGATAATTGAGATCAAGTAGTAAACAAACCCAAAGCAAACTGATTTCATCACGTTGCAGAGCTATCAATAAAAAAAAAAAAAAAAAAAAAAAAAAAATCGCAATCACAAAAGCAGCCTCTCATCCCTCAGGCAGTCTGAACTGTATAAAAGCTCTCTCCACTCAGGGTTCTTCCAACCGCTCCTCTTCCCGTCTCAAGTCAATTGGGTAAGTCGGAATTTTCCTCTCTACGACTTTTGGAATAGCTCTTTGCTGTAGAATTTAATCTAGGATGGTCTCTTGCAATTAGAACTAATGGGTAAAGTTCTAGGTGAAAAGATTAAAGCCTACCAAAATTCTTCCAGGTGTTACGGACAGCTGATCTCTGTGTTCAGGATTGGCATTTAATTTCAGAGCAAAGTTTCTTGATATGGGGAAAAAAAAAAAAAAAAAAAAGTCCATTATTCCGTCACATCCAACAGATAAAGGAATGATGTGGCTGGTTCAATACGCATGCCTCTTCTGTTTGTTCACACAGGTAACCGGAAGTTATTTGTAAAAGTTTAAATCTTCATGGTTCGTAGGGAAAGGCTGAGCTTAGAAGCAAACCTTCCATCATCTCCAGTTCATTCTGTTACAGATCGCTCAAAGCGCTCTTACGTGAATTCAAGATAAAAGAGCATAAATACCACCAGGGATCAGGCACTGGCTTAGAGGAGGACACAAAAAAAATTGAGATATGTTGAAAATGCTCAATAAGAAATTCGGTTGAGGGGTGATGGAGGGAATTTAAGGAGCTGACAGGTGAAGCACTGGGGTTTTTCACGTTAATGGGGACAAGTTGTTTGGGCTGAGACTTTTTCTAAAGAGTTCAGAGCCTGGAATCAAACCACTGCGTTGAGGTAGTTGTAAATATCTCAGTGCCCTGATTCAATGTTTGGAAATTGAGGACAGTGATCTTTGCAATTCCCTTGTAATGGTCTCATCAAACAAGTTACTGAGCAAATCTGAACAGACAATGATTTATAATCCCTGTTCTGACAAGGCTCAGCACAAAGGGGATCAGTGGGAATGAAGAGTTAGAGTCATGAAATCACCCATAACAACGCGCTCCCTTCTTGGAGTCCCAGTCCTTGCTGATCCGCTGACTCACCAAAGCATCTGAGCAAATAACTTTGCTGTTCTGCTTCAGTTTTCATTTCTAATAGACTTAAGCAAATTGGTGCGCCTCAGAACACCTGTCTGAGGAAAGACACTGAACTCTACAGCACTTTTATGTATGTGAATAATGTTCTGTACTTGCTAAAATCAGCTCTTGTAGA